TATTTATCCGTCAACTTTCATTATGTCTAGTAATCACGTGTGGTCCACTCGTCCCTCCAACCGATGATGTTGTACGTGTATCTCCATCATCGTGTCTGTTGAGCAGTCCGTATGGCCAGACATGCATTTTCACTTGTCAAAGACCAGGATATGTCCTTGAAGGGACATCTGTGCGAGTATGTGGTAATGACGGGCAGTGGACTGGGTCGAACAATACAAATTGTAGAGGTATGATTATGTGGCTTAACTAAATTTGGGAATGGTTTCTCTTTTCTTCGAAAATTTACTGGTCATTTCATTCTTTGAAATGGTTGCGGCAGACGAGAGTCTATTTCACAACCGTTGACTACCATTTATTACTTCGGCTACCATCACGGAAGTCCTTCAAAATCCGTTTGCGCCGAGTTTTCGCGCTCCTAGCTTCGATTACATGTCAACCAGCATACTTGTTGGGGCTAGGCCTAGAGACCACTTGAAATGAAAAAAAGCCAAAACTGATCACTAGTATGCGTAGCCAAATGTTGACGGGTGAAGTTAGAATTTTAATCAATTAATTAAATATTTTAAACTAATTAATTAATTAATTAATTAATTAATCCATCAAAAAAATATATATGTTTTGACTTGTTTATTGTATCGAGAAATGTCACACCAAACGCTGCCATGTCAATTCTGTACTTTCACATGTGAAATTATAAGTCAACACTGAAATTTAGCGCCAAGATTAAGGGGAAACTTGCCACCCGTGATATTAAAGTGGAAAAAGCAACGATAACGTACTGAGTGTGTCGAACGCTTTGTTTTACTGATTTCAAAAGTTAGAAAAAGTGTTCACCAATTTCCTTGTTCGTATTTGTTTAAATCGTGGATTCTTCGAGCCATCATTGATTCCTTTTGGTTCACTGTTTAATATCAGTTTCCTTCCAACTGAAGGTGTTCTTTTGCATTGTAACAAAAGACTCGGCTGATACATCGTATTTTAAATATGTAAGTTGTATGCCCGAAGGTCTAATATTAGATTTCTTCATTATCGTGACATAAAAAAAAAGTACAAAAAACGTGGTAAAGAAAATAAATATCAGTTAATACAAAATTCAAAATTTTGCCACATTGGCATTTTTGATCTCGATATCCTGTCACAAAAGATCAAATTTGATATATAATACATTTCCATTAATTAATGCTGTTATCCCTCACTCAAAATCCTTGCTCAATTTGGTTCCGTTCATCAACTAAATTAATTTGAATGTGTAGTTCCATTGGAGACATTTGACAATGTTTTTAATACAGATAACACTCCACCTTCCTTCAATGACACATGTCCCGGCAATATGGTGTTCTATGCCACGGAGTGTTTGTCTAGTGCTTCACTCACCTGGACTGAGCCAAGGGCGACTGACAACTCTGGTCACGTGTCTATCAGCTACCCTGCCAGTCGTCCTCCTGTCAACCTCAGTATCGGTCTGTACAATGTACTGTATTCCGCAATAGACAGCAGTGGAAACCGAGCTAACTGCACTTTCATTGTGCAAGTTGCAAGTAGGTCACCACACTTGTATAAGGTAACAGAAATAAATGGTAATAAATGTTAACAATAATTATCATGATGACTAAGAATATTCATAATTATCATAATTTATATAGCAAACAGCCCTTTTCACGGTTACCTTTGCTCATTTGCATTACAATAAAATCTAGCATGTATCTGAGGCAATTTCGGGCTATTTTGTAGTTTTAGCCCGAAATTGCCTCGCATCCACGTTGGATTACATTGTAATGCAAATGACAACAATTAACCGTGAAAAGGGCTATTGCTACTGCATGAAGGTGCTTTATTCAAAAGCAGGGAAGCAGTAACTAAGTTTGTTGAAAAGACGAACTAGCGCTGAGCACATGCACATACACCAGGGCACTAAAGATTTAGACAAATAGCACGATTTAAGATTTTATTAATTATAAATCTAACACGATGTCTTTTTCTAAGCCAAACATTTCATTAAAGAAAAATCTGTTTCATTCTTTAGGAAAATCATGCCAAATACTCCAGCCACCAATTCATGGATCCATAACCTCTTTTCTTAATTCAGTATTTATTTCAAGCAATTTGTTTCCTCGACAGATATCCAGGCTCCCAGCATTACATGCCCACCTGATATGGACAATATTCCCACAGGGCCTGGCCAATCATATGCAAGCGTAAAGTGGCAGGTACCAGTCCCCACCGACAACTCTAACGAGCGCCTGACTCTCAATGGTTTGCGACCGCCACAAAAGCTGGATGTTGGTAAAACGCACATTACATACAAAGTCACCGACTCATCTGGTCTGAGTAGAAGCTGTGTGTTTTTTATTGATATCAAAGGTACACATTGCATATGAAATTGTTCAATTAAAACCTTACTTAGCTGTCGCAAAATTACTTCGTCAGTATGACGTTATTATGCTTGAATCCCAAATTTTTCTACAGGCGGATGATGCGTCATGTTTGCAATTTGCTAAGAATTATTCTTTTAGGGCTCTTTCGTTATTGTTGAATTGCGAAAAACTTGTCATTTGGTAAATATGAGATTTTCATTACATCACGAGCATGGGACAAGGCATCTGAGTCCCAAACGGGGTTCAAATTTGTTATCGTAAAATAAACAAACAAAAAAATTGACGTCAATTTTTCATGTGTCTGTACTGTTACTGGCAATGAATTTCATTCTAACATCGTCAAAGTAGTCAACGGAACCACAGCTACTTTGACAATATTATGACGAAATTCATGACCAATAAAAGGACAGACGCACGAAAAAATGACGTCAATTTGGTAATGTGACCTCTTAGATACCAGTTCGGTGCTCTATTCACTGACCTGCGTAGAAACTCACGATTGCATGTATCCCATCTGGGCCAAATTTAATAGCTTCACATGTTACTGCATACTGCTAGAATGAGCATCATATGTGTGATAGATAATGAAAGATGGCAAATTTTGAGTTTTGTAAATAAATGATCCAGTTAAAATGTCAATTTTGTATGAAGCGTGGGGAAAAACTGCTTTATATTTTTATTTATCTGACAGATCTAGAGCCCCCTAAGATTGCAAACTGCCCTGATGACATTCACGAGACGTCTAAAAAGAAATGGACCAAGATCTTTTTTCCTGGAGTCACTGTCACAGATAATGTTGGCGTTCACTTATTTACGACAAGCAGACCAAATGGAAGCGACTTCACATGGGGAGACCACAACGTGACTTATTCTGCATCAGATAAAGCAGGAAATACTGCCAAGTGCCTTTTTCAAGTCGTTATTGTAGGTATGCAAGGCCGTTTGGAGGGTTTCTAAAACGATTTGGGACTCGAAGACATAACACGACCATTTTAACACCCGTGAACTTCAAGGAACTGTTCACATCAACCACACTTCTCGTAAGGTTCCACGCTCGGTAACCGGGCGAGCCGTGTCGCCCGGGCTCGACATAAGAACAGGCCCTAAGGCAGTGGCTGTATAGGCCACTGCGCTAAACACTACCCATTTCGTACTTGGAAATTCAGACACGTTGAATATCATTCCATGCAGTGCCAACAAACGCACTGGAATAGTCCTAGATCCGCAGTGCCCATCCAAACACGGAAGAAGTACCTGAAGGGTTATTGGAATGAAGTCAAATCACTTAATACCTAGACGATTTGTGTGGCTTGAAACAAATTGAAATTAACTAATCGTGAGGTAAAAAGATAGCTCTAACAAACCTTTAGGATCTTGTGATGGAGGAAAGTTTTCTTTTTTTACCTTATGAAAAGCTAAACCATGTGACGATTTACCAGCACCGCAAAATGGAGCGAAAGCCTGTGACCAGTGGCTAAACAGCGGGAAGATTTGCACGCTACATTGCAATGTGGGATATGACTTTGCCAACCAACCACCAGAGTTCTATGCATGCGGTGCTGAAGGGAAATGGTTTCCGGGTGACACAGTGCCAGACTGCTCTAGTAAGACCAAGTATCGAAATGAGACTGTTTGCTAGGTTATTTTCATGGTATCTGTAGAAATATGATCCATTAAACAAGGAAGATCATTAAAATCATTTTTAGGCCACGCTATAAGAGAACCTGAGTCCGTTATCTAAAGACCCATTAAAGGGTGAAGTTTCTTAATAGTCAGCCGGTGCATTATCCTGATAAAAGGTTGATAGAAGGAATTTATTTCACAGATGATGCAATGTAGGTTCTAAAAATGCAAAATAATAATAATAATAATAATAATAATAATAAATAAATAAATAAATAACAGAACAATCTAAATTGAACGTTTAATTATATTCGAGCAACTAGGACGGAATGGCATGGGGAGGTAAACTGGGAAAAAAGCTTTCAGTCTATCGATGACTTTTCACGAATAAACCATCGAAATCCTAACTGCCCCGAAATATTAATTTGGCAGGTAACCTCATGCAAAACTCTGACATGAATTTTCCCATAACAAACGAAAACAAAGCTAAAAGCTGTCCTGCAGATAATCGTCTTTGTTAATGATTTCTCAGATCTTGACACTCGTGAATGTTTCTCTTCAGTGGCATATCCAATATACATTCACATTTTAGACTATACGAACGTGCTTTCCAAACCATGTTTTTTAGCTGTAAGTTAATATTTATTTCTGATTTATCTGTCTAGAAACACGCCAAGCAAAGACTTGGCTTACTTCAAAGCTTCATTATTTGGCTGACCGGTGCACAGAAGGAATGCATGCCAGGATCGCCAGAAACTTCATCGCGCTCTATACAAAGTACTTGGGAACTATAGGAGGTTGTGATGGGGATGTAGAATGCACGATTGAAAACGTCGAAGTAGAATGCGGAGAACATAGTGGAACTCTTCGCAGAAGGGACATAGCCGATAGCGAACAGGCTTCTAAAGTTCCTCTTACTGTGAGATTCGCTGTAAAAGTCCCACTGCCAAGCAATGCCTCCGTGGATGATCTAAACCAAACAACTCAACAGATATCAAGTGACATCTTAGCGTCCCTGAACGAAACAGACTTAACTCTGAACGTTAGTGGAGTTGTTTTGGAATATGACGAAACAAGACCCCCGGTAGTACGCATAGTTGGTCTTGTTTGTGACAAAGGGCAAGTTCTTAAAGGGACAAAATGTGGTAAGACCTGAATATAAGCAAGCATAACACTTGACTGTTTTCATTTGAACATGTTATGATATACTGTTCTTGATCAAGAGACGAACAAAA